GAAAATGTAAAGGCCAACTAGCTTCAGGCACGACTGGATCCAGGAGCTTCAATGATCAGACTGCTCCTTGCTGTCAGTTTCTCTACTGTTTCCCTAATAGTTTTGCTTTCTGCAGCAGGCTGGCTTCTTATGTTAGAAAACAAGACTGTAGACAAAGTGAAGTTCATGTTTAAAGCCTATGATCCAAAAGGAAGCAAGAGCTTCTTCCTCTTGTAAGTAATACATGAAATCTCTGAGAAAATGCCAGTTGACCAGCCTGGGTCACGTGCACATGGAAGGTGGGACAGGAAGGATTATTGCACATCACTGACCCTTCTACCAAGACCATGTGAGGGGTGCTCCCTCAAGGAAGTCACAGGGTCCTCATCAGAAAGGCAGGAACCATAGCTGTGCACCAAGAGCTGGAGCCTTCTCCATACTTCAGCGCCCAGCATGAGCGTGGCACACAGTAGATGCTCAATACACGTTTGTTGTGTGGATGCTGAACAAGCACCTGGCTGGAAATGGAGCCGTTGGGTAACTCATTGGATGAAGGAAGGGGCTGCCCAGAGCATGGAATCTGTTTGAGGCTGACCTTCGAAATATTTCCACAAGTACGCACAGGGACCCAGAAACAGACCCCGGGCAGCAGTGGGCTCCATCATGACCAAAACCTAGAAGGTCAAGCTCCCCAGGGTAGGTCTAGAAACTGCCCACCTGCTTCCTTTCAACCAGCAGAAAATTGCATGGAGAGCAGGGTTTCCTCTCAAAGTAACTGATCAGGAACTAGCTGCCTATGGAACACATCAGAGAATTTTGGTTTTCAGTCTTCCTGACATCTTATTAATGAGTTCTGGTGAGAAGTTTGAGGGATTTTTCCCCCTTTTTTGGGAAAACTAACAAATTCTTCGGCTACAGTGCTTTTTCTTTTGGAGAGATGGAGGACTGGGTTAATGACACCTGTGGGTATAGGCTGCCAAGCTCAAAGCTTTTTCCAGTCTGAAATTTACAAGAGCCTAGACACATAAATCACCATTCCTCTCTCGTTACCTGGAATAAATTTTTATGTGAATAACCAAAAGAGGCAGGGAATTACAGAAGAAGGGAAAGAGGAAAAGCTATATCAGAATGTATTAAATGTGTAAAGTTAAATAGCCCCGTTATAGTCAGAATGTGGTTGAATAGAGTCATTTCCTTAATTACCTTTCCTTCGTCCACAGATGCTGGACTGAGGCCTGGTAAGTTAATTCCCAAAAATATTATAAATAAACTTTCTGGCAACAAAAATTCCCAAGCGGGTTGGTGGCTCTTAATGTGAAAGTGTAATTTTAGGGGAAAGGAAAGTTTCTGTCCCTCTAAGGTATGCACATGCATTATAGGAGTCTATATGCAAGTAGGCATTTTAACCAAACTCTGGTCTCTGAGTTTCCAAGTGACAAAGAGAGCCCCAAAGTCTGCCTTTTCCCTGCCTGCCTGCTCTCACTTTCCCAGAAGAATCACACTATAATTTTCCTACCTTTTTTTAATTTTTTTGAGATAGAGTTGCACTCTTGTTACCCAGGCCGGAGTGCAATGGCATGGTCTTGGCTCACTGCAACCTCTGCTTCCCAGGTTCAAGCGATTCTCCTGTCTCAGTCTCCCAATTAGCTGGGATTACAGGCGCCCACCACCATGCCCAGCTAATTATTTTTAGTAGAGACAGGGTTTCACCTCAGGGGATCCACCTGCTTCAGCCTCCTAAATTGCTGGGATTACAGGTGTGAGCCACTGTGCCCATCCCCTACCTTTTTTTAATGAGCTCAGCCTTACACCTAGTACCACACCTAGTGTGCTTCCCATCTGATTTCCACCCAGGATGAAATAATTCTCCTGCTGGGAAAAGAGATCAGCCGTCTCTCAGATTATGAAATCGAATCCAAATATAAAGACGTCATAATAGCAAACCTGCAGAACGAAGTGGTGGAGCTGAGTCAGAAGCTGTCAGAGACCTCCACCTCCAGGCAGACTGAGAGGGAGATCACGCAGAAGTGTCAGGTTCTGGATGAAGACATCGACAAACAGAAAGAGATCCAGAGCTTGAAAAGCCAGGTGGGTGGATTCCGAGAGGTACAGCACGGCCCTCAGGCCAAGGCCTGGGAGGCCACAGGAGCACCAACCAAGGTGACCCACCCAGAATTAGGGAATGGGCGGTCAGTGGAGCATGGTGCTTAAGAACGCAAATCCACAAGGCTGAGAGTCTTGGGCAGTTTCCTAGCATGGTAAGAACAAGATCAGCATTTGTTCAGCACTGGCCACGTGCACGAACTAGTGCAAAGCACTTTAACTTATTTATTTACTATGATTATTATTATTGTTTTGAGATGGAGTTTTGCTCTTGTTTCCCAGGCTGGAGTACAATGGCGCGATCTTGGCTCACTGCAACCTCCGCCTACCAGGTTCAAGCGATTCTCCTGCCTCAGCCTCCCAAGTAGCTGGGATTACAGACATGTGCCACCATGCCTGGCTAATTTTGTATTTTTAGTAGAGACAGGGTTTCTCCATGTTGATCAGGGTGGTCTTGAACTCCCTACCTCAGGTGATCCACCCACCTCGGCCTCCCAAAGTGTTGGAATTACAGGCATGAGCCACCATGCCCAGCCCTTTGACTTATTTAAACCTCACAATCCTCTGACACATCCATTCTACAGATGAAAAATCTAAGGCAGGCCCAGGCCGGGCGTGGCAGCTCATGCCTGTAATCCAGCACTTTGGGAGACTGAGGCTGGTAGATCCCTTGAGGTCAGGAGTTCAAGACCAGCCTGGCCAATATGGCGAAACCCTGTCTCTATTAAAAAGACAAAAATTTGTGGCGATTCCTCAAGGACCTAGAAATAGAAATTCCATTTGACCCAGCAATCCCGTTACTGGGTATATATCCAAAGGATTACAAATCGTTCTACTATAAGGACACGTGCACACGAATGTTCATTGCAGCACTGTTTACAATAGCAAAGACCTGGAACCAACCCAAATGCCCATCGACGATAGACTGGATAGGGAAAATGTGGCACATATACACCCTGGAATATTATGCAGCCATCAAAAACGATGAGTTTGGGTCCTTTGTGGGGACATGGATGAACCTGGAAACCATCATTCTCAGCAAACTGACACAAGAGCAGAAGATCAAACACCACATGTTCTCACTCATAGGCGGGTGTTGAACAATGAGAACACATGGACACAGGGAGGGGAGCACTACACACTGGGGCCAGTTGGGGGGAAATAGGGGAGGGACGGTGGGGGGTGAGGAGATGGGGAGAGATAGCAAGGGGAGAAATGCCAGATGTAGGTGATGGGGAGGAAGGCAGCAAATCACACTGCCACGTGTGTACCTATGCAACAATTTTGCATGTTCTTCACATGTACCCCAAAACCTAAAATGCAATAAAATAAATAAATGGGGGAAAAAAATGTGCCAGGCGTGGTGGTGCACACCTATAATTAGCCCAACTACTTCAGAAGCTGAGGCTGAACCCGGGAGGCGGAGGTTGCAGTGAGCTGAGATCATGCCACTGTACTCCAGCCTGGGTGACAGAGTGAGACCCTGTCTCAAAAGAAAAAAACAAAAGTCTCAAGTCAGGCCCAGAGACACCCGGGAACTGCTTACAGCTTGCACAGCATGTGAGAGGTGGCGGTACGATTTGAACTCAGATCTGCTTTCTTACAGACCCCATGTTCTCACCCCGATTTCCTATTCCCCCACAATGCTGTCACTTCAGTGATTGCTTCTCACCCCAATCCAGCCCCGGCCAGGGAGAGCTGTGGGCAGTTAGCTAAGTGGGGAGAAGGAACCCCGCAGTGTTCCAAACACTGAGGCCTTTACCAAACCCCGAAGGCAGTTAGTTACTGGTTCACTTACAGGGAATTGCATCAAACAAAAATTCTTCACCTGGAACTTCTGAATTTACCAGTCATGTTCCTTTCTCTTGAAACTTGATTCATATTCCTTTTTTTTTTAACTTTAAAATTGACCAGTGATATTGTATATCAATTATATCTCAACAAAGTTGTTAAAAGAGAAACAGGCCACTGGTGAATTTCACCCTCCATGCATCATGCTGCTTAAACTGTGCCTGTCCCTTGAGCTTCTGTTCACTGATTCACTGCTTTGGCCTCTCCCTTCTGTGCGCAATTCAGGGTGCATAGTTTAAGCCCTGGAAAAAGCCCTAGGGTAGACATGGTGAACCTAGGAGAGTCTTTCAGGGTCTATAAGCTCCGCAAGGGCAAGGGCTAGGCGTAGTTACCTTCCAGAATAGGACAGTATCTGTTCATTTGTTCATTCATTCATCAATACTTGTTGAGTGACTACCCAGTGCCAGGCCCTCTTCTGGGCTCTGGGAATTCGGCAGAGAACAAGGCTGACCTGATCCTTGTCTTCCTACAGTTGTGCTCCGATGAGGGAGACAGAGTAGACAAGAAGAGAGACAAACATATGCCCTAATATTGAAGCAGTGACCCTCCTTCAGACCTGTTTTTGAAAGAACAATGAAAGTAGCTGGTCCTGGCCAGGCGAGGTGGCTCATGCCTGTAATCCCAGCACTTTGGCAGGCCGAGGCGGGTAGATCACGAGGTCAGGAGATCAAGACCATCCTGGTTAATACAGTTAAACCCCCTCTCTACTTTAAAAAATACAAAAAATTAGCTGGGCGTGGTGGCAGATGCCTGTACCTACCTACTCAGGAGGCTGAGGCAGGAGAATCGCTTGAACCTGGAGAGTGGAGGTTGCAGTGAACCGAGATCGCACCACTGCATAATAGCCTGGGCAATAGACTCTGTCAAGAAAAAAAAAAAAAAAAAAAGAACATAGCTGGGGAGCTGTTCCTATAGGAATGACTGCTGCAGACAGCTGCCTGGACATGTCTCTTACTTACTGAGGAGCCTCTTTCTCTTGACCTGAACCCAGTTTTGGAACCAGATCTCCATGTTTTTCAGTAACTCTCCCATTTCAGAGCTTTCCTGCACTAAGTGAAGTGTCTTGTCCAAGTACAAGGTTAAGGATGAGTAATTGTCACATATCTTTGAGTCTGTTCACAAGTCACATATTGGGCATTGTTTAAAGTGCCCACATTATCTGGAATCTTGTCTTTTCACCAAGAAATTATCTAGAAATAATTACTCTGTGGCTGGGCACGGTGGCTCACACCTGTAATCCCAGCACTTTGGGAGGCTGAGGCAGGCAGATCACCTGAGGTCAGGAGTTCAAGACCAGCCTGGCCAACATGGTGAAACCCCGTCTCTATAAAAAATACAAACCTGTGGCTGGGCACGGTGGCTCACACCTGTAATCCCAGCACTTTGGGAGGCTGAGGCAGGCAGATCACCTGAGGTCAGGAGTTCAAGACCAGCCTGGCCAACATGGTGAAACCCCATCTCTACTAAAAAATACAAAAATTAGCCAGGCGTGTTGGTGTGTGTCTGTAATCCCAGCCACTTGGGAGGCTGAGGCAGGAGAATCGCTTGAACCTGGAAGGTAGAGGTTGTAGTGAGCAAAGATCGTGCCACTGCACTCCAGCCTGGGCAACAGAGTGAGAGTCTAAAAAAAAAAAAAAAAAAAAGAAAGAAAGAAAGAAAGAATTACTCTAACTCATTAATATTCCTTCCTCCACCTTGATCTTGGCTCATAATTGAAAGATGACATTTTATAACAAAGCATCTCTGACGTAAAGGATGCATTTGGTTTGAATCCAAATCAAGTTTCATCTGCTCACATTTTAGTCTCTTAAATATTCTATTGCCAACAGAACATTCAAGCAGACGTATAAGCCACATGGCAGGTTGATTTATTGTTCTGATTACTTGTTCTCCCGGGTCTCCTGAAAGTGCGTGCCTATCAATTTGCTGCTCTCAGAGAGCCCTTCGATCCAATGCAATACCCCAAGACGATGTGCCATGCGGTCTGTGCTGCCTGTACTAATTAGCAGCTGAATTCGTATCTTGAAGCAATCAGTCTTCCTAGCACTATTAACTTTCTTATGACCCAGTGCCCATTTTATTACACAGTATAACAGGCACTAAATACCGGGGGATTTATGCCAATTATAGACAATAGGGATATTTATTTTGGTCATGAAATTGATGAAGATGTTTGAAGACTACGTGGAGTTTTCCCACAGTCTGAAATCCTTCAGCTCTGATACTTAGATTGAAACATTTCCTATCTGTCAGACAGCACTGGAGTCTTTGGGGGATGGGTTTTCCCATCCCTTCTGGAAGTTTCTCTCTGTGTTGTGCCTCGGGTATACAAACAAAAGCATTAAGCTGAGAAGAGCTGTAACTTTTTTTTTTAAGTTCCAAATACCTTTTTTATGGGGAGTAGCACGTCCCCACAGAGAACAGAAGAGGTGAAATAATTTTTTTTACTCCAAATTTCCAAAGTCAGACCTGCAAAAGTATAGCCTTGGAGAGGGTGGGGACATTGTAGCCCGTGTCCCTCCATCTTCTAGTGAGCACTCCTTCTCCAATACTAGATGCCCCAGGGAAAATGTGAGTCGTGCACGAAATGGGCTATATAAATTGTGAAACCTTAATCCTTCTGTTAATTCTACCACGGAGTCCTAGCCACAAGGTTTTCGGAGACAGACACTAAACACAGACTGTGAGCGCCACCTGGTGGCCAGGTGCAGGGTGCACGGCACACCACGTCTACATTGTTGGGGTCCCCCCCACTCCCACCCTGTCATATCTTATGATATGCCTGCAACATGATGTGAGGATTATCAGGGATTCTTGCATCTCCTCTTAATGACAGCCACACTGGCATTTTAAGTAAGCCTAGGCAAGGCTTACAAACGCACACAAAAATATTATCAATCTGCGTTCCTGGAGACAGGCAAGAAAAGCAGACACTAAGACCCACCATGGAATAATCACAGTGAGTATCTATGTGGTGAGCCAGGCATGGTCTGAGTACTCTTCCATGTACTCACTCACTAAATACTTTCAACAACCCTGAAATTACAACCATCACCGTACCCACTTGCAGAATTTAAAAAATGGGCAGAATTGGTGTCCTCCCTATTTTCACACACAGACAGATTTTGCAGATGGCAGCCTGGTTCTTGAGTCCCTACAAGCTCTATGGCCTCCGGTTCTTAATGCTGGTTCCTAGAGCCACGTGATAAGATGGAAAGAACTGGAAGCAGGCAACCAAAGCCTGGATTTGGATGGTGACTCTACCACCGACTGATCCGTGCAATCCCAAGCAAGTGAGCTCACCCCTCTGAGTCTTGATTTACTCACTTGCAAAATGGGAGCTGATATGGTTTGGCTGTGTCCCCACCAAATCTCAACTTGAGGTGTATCTCCCAGAAATCCCACGTGTTGTGGAAGAGATCCAGGGGGAAGTAATTGAATCGTGGGGGCCGGTCTTTCCCATGCTGTTCTCGTGATCGTGAATAAGTCTCACGAGATCCGATGGGTTGATGAGGGGTTTCCACTTTTGCTTCTTCCTCATTTTCTCTTACCACCATGTAAGAAGTGCCTTTCACCTCCCGCCATGATTCGAGGCCTCCCCAACCATGTGGAACTGTAAGTCCAATTAAACCTCTTTTTCTTCCCAGCCTCGGGTATGTCTTCATCAGCAGCGTGAAAACAGACTCATGCAGGAGCATTCCCAGGAGCCTCCTGTGAGGAGGCCATGAGGCTCTGTTGAAGTAGTGTCTGTGAGTGGGCTTTGTAAGCTCTAGAGTGTTCTGTGAGATATAAACTATTGCTGTCATTTGAGGGAATTAATTTTATAACCTGCTTCCCTCTCTTGAACTTTGCTCCATATTCAGTCAGTACTGGGTGATCTGGAACCAACAGGTGGTCTGTTTATGGCTGAGAGTCCAAAGGTCATTGGAAGGCACAGTAAGGAACCAGGTATCCCAGTGACACAAAGATAAGGTTCATGTTTCGATGACATAGGAAGTGGTGGTCCTTGAAGGAACAGGCCCTCCCCTGTCCCTTCCACTAGTTAAAACTAAAAGGCTTGGTTTCCTCAACACCCCAACCAAAAATCAATCTGAATCTTTCCATCCAGCTTGTTAGAAGTACCTGTGTGTCTCCCAGACGTGGGCCAGCCCGCCTCTGACTGTGCCGCCTCCTCCCACAGATCAGTGCCCTACAGAAAGGCTACAGCCAGGTGCTGTGCCAGACCCTGTCCGGGCGGAACTCAGAAATCGCATCCCTGAAGAATGAGGGGGAAAATTTAAAGAGGGACAACGCTATCGCATCAGGTGAGCCCTTGCTGTAGCTGGGCCTGGGAGCCGCCACTCCTGCCCCCCATGTTCTTGACCACACCAGACATCACCAATCAACCACACACTTCTTGTTACTGAACTTGGCTGCAGCCTCAGAGTTCTTCTCAGCAGCCCTTTAGGCAGCTCCTGTCCGTGAATTTGAGTTCGTCCTCAGGAAAGGTTTATGTGCCATCCAGTTCCTAGCCTGTGGCCTGGTTTGGAGTCAGCCCTTGATAAATATTTGAGCAAATGTTATCTCTTAGCCAAAAGGCCTGCTGAGCATGGACCTCACCAGGGAACACACAGGACTGGCTGTGACTCAGGCAGTCCCATGAGCCAGTTTGCTGTGAATGCAAACTAGAATGTGGCTAAGCACCCAGCCTCTTACCCATCTCACACTGGTGGACTGGGGCTGGAGCCAAAGCATTTTGCTGAGAGGTAGCTGGATACTCAAGGACTCAATTGGGGAATGGGACAGCCAATTCATGGCACACCCTTGCCAGGCATAGCTGTTTCTTAGCCTGGATTCATTCATTCATTCGTTCATTCATAACACCTTTTTTTTTTTTTTGAGACAGTATCTCGCTCTGTCGCCAGGCTGGAATGTAGTGACACGATCTCGGCTCACTGCAATCTCTGCCTCCTGGGTTCAAGCGATTCTCCTGCCCCAGCCTCCCAAGTAGCTGGGATTACAGGCGCCTGCCACCATGCCTAGCTAATTTTTGTATTTTTAGTAGAGATGGGGTTTCACCATGTTGGCCAGGATGGTCTTGATCTCTTGACCTTGTGATCTGCCCACCTCAGCCTCCCAAAGTGCTGGGATTACAGGTGTGAGCCACCGTGCCTGGCTATCATTCAACACATTTGTGGAGCACCTGCTAGACCCCAGGCACTGTTCTAGGCACTGGGAAGAGAGAGCCTGGAGCAAACAGTCAAGATCCCTCTGCTCATGGGGCTCACACTTGGGAGAGGGTGACAGATAATAAGAAGTAAACAGATAAATGATCAAGCCCATACCAGCCAGAGATCAGTGCTCCAGAGGAAATAAAGCTGGGCACCGTGGTGGGGAAGCACTTCGGTGGGGTGGTGAAGTGAAGCAGAATGGCTTAGTGCACGCTTGTCCAGCCCACGACCTGTGGGCCACATACAGCCCAGGACAGCTTTGAATGGGGCCTGACACAAATTCATAAACTTTCCTAAAACGTCATGAGATTTATGTGTGTGTGATTTTTTTTTTTTTTTTAGCTCATCAGCTGTTGTTAGAATGAGTGTATTTTATGCGTGACCCAAGACCATTCTGAGGGAAGCCAAAAGATTGGACACCTCCCCCCCTGGCTTAGTGTCTGGGTAGGGATATCTCTGAGGAGGTGGAGGGGCTGTCGGGAGGCCCCGGGAAGTGTGCCAGGCACAGAGCACAGTGCAAAGGCCCTGAGGCCGGACCGAGCTGCAGTGTCAAAGCAGCTGCCGGCAAGTGTGGGCGAGTGTGGCTGGGTCAGGGAACCAGGGCTGTGGGACCCAGTGGGGTCAGGGCAGAGCCGGGGCCACATCACAGGGGAGGGGTTCAGGTTTTCTTCTAAGTGTGATGGGGTGCATTTGGTTTTTAAGGCAGAAAATGACATGTCCAGAGACCTGCAGATGGTGAGGCCATTGACAGAGAAAGGGAAAAGAGAGGAAAGCAGATGGGTGGGCAGGGAATGAGTCTGGGCTGGGCGTATTGCTCTGAAAGTCCCTGCACAACAGGAAACGTGCCTGCGGCTGTGAAGGCTGAGCTAGCAGTGAGCCGAGCACAATCGCTGTCTCTGCAGGACCCGGCCCCTGATCCTGGCTTTCCCTCTGCCTCACTCTGTAGTCTCCTCTCCACTACAGGCTTCTACTTCTGCTCTTTCCTAACCTGCAGTGTTCTCGGATACTTGTGAGCGCCTCCTATGGGCAGGGCTGCTCTGGGCACCAGGCATGTAAGGGGCATCTCACTGGGCCCTGCCTTCCTCCCCGGCATCTGCCCATCACACTCCACCCATGCTGCAAGCCTGTCTCAGACCCCGCTTCTCTAATCAGGGAGGCGGACAGACCTGGGCTTGGGCGGGGCCTGGGATGCACTACACTTTCACGACTCCAGGTGTGGTCCCCGGACCAGCAGCATCAGTATCACCTGGACCCTTGTAAGAAACTCAGAATTTCAGGCCCCGCTCCTGACCTTCCGACCAGAATCTTTATTTAACAAGCCCCCGGCTGCTGCATGTGCACACTCCAGCTTGAGAAGCACTGGGCCGGGTGATGCTGCAGTGACAAACAGTCCCCCAAGTCTCAGTAGCTCACAGTACAGTAGACAGGTTCATTTCCTGCTTCCGCCTCGGGCCCACTGGGTCAGTAGGGGCTTTGGTCACTGTATCCACTCAGTGACCCAGGCTCACAGAAGCCAACACAACACATCACACGTCCCATCTTCCATGGCGAGAGAGGCAGATGGAGGAACAGGGACTGGAGTTCCTCACCTGCCTGAAACAAACAAAGAAATAAAACAGAAAAAACATCTGAAATAATGGTTTCCGTATATTGGCCCCAAGAAGCATGCGACAGTGATCTGGGAGGGAGTGGAAACAGACAAGATGAAGCCAATGATTGCCCCGGCTTGCGCTGGAGAGAGTTTCCAGACCACAGCAGGGAGGGGAAGCCAGGTGGAGCCCAGGGGTCGGCTGGACTTGAGGAGCTGGGGGTGGAGAAGCCAGAACAGCTTGAGTTTGCTGGTGGGGGTGGCAGTGCCAGGCGGGAGGGGGCTGCACGGAGAGCACCCCGGAGATCTCAGAGGGTCCCCCTCAATTTTTCAGCAGAGTCACGTGTGATCAGCACGTGCATGTGGACAGGGAAGGAACCAACCTGGAGCAGCAGAGGGAAGCAACTCGATGCCCACGTGGGCCTGAGAGTAGCTCACTCTCCCATAGTCCAGAATGGGGAAAGCTTGCGTGACACAGGGTGTCTGGGAGAGACTTGAGCCAAATTCATTCTAGAGAAAAGGCCACGCTGGTCCCACCCAGCACAGCATGCAGCCAAGCCCCAGAGACAGCAGTCTGTCTCCAAGGAACTTAGCTATGTCCTGGGACAAAACTCATTTTTACATAAAATTCTGAATCATGTTGTTCCTTATTACACATTCTTGATTGTGCAATAAAGATTGATTCTTGACTGATACCCACCAATAAAACTAGGATGAATGTTTTTCTTTTTTTTTTTTTTTGAGACGGAGTTTCTCTCTTGTTACCCAGGCTGGAGTGCAATGGCGCGATCTCGGCTCACTGCAACCTCCGCCTCCTGGGTTCAGGCAATTCTCCTGCCTCAGCCTCCTGAGTAGCTGGGATTACAGGCACACGCCACCATGCCAGCTAATTTTTTTGTATTTTTAGTAGAGATGGGTTTCACCGTGTTGACCAGGATGGTCTTGATCTGTTGACCTCGTGATCCACCCGCCTCGGCCTCCCAAAGTGCTGGGATTACAGGCTTGAACCACCGTGCCCGGCCCTAGGATGAATGTTTTTCTAAGAAAAGGACCCTATAATCCAAAACCACTGCATTTATGCACCCTTCTCACTTTTTCTCAATGTGATAATACAATACTATATTGGCTATCTGCTGTTACATAACAACTTATCCCAAAAAGCAACAAATATGTTTATCTCACCCAGTTTTTGTGGTTCAGGAACTTGGGAGTGACTTAGTCCGGCTCAGGGTCTCTCATGAGGTTGCAGGAGCTGTTGCTGTCATGTCCTGTAAAGCCTGACTTGGGCTGAGGGATCCCCATCCGGAATGACTGGCTCCCATGGCTGTTGGCTGGAGGCCTCAGTCCCTCACCATGTGTGCCCTTCCCTAGGGCCACTTGAGTGTCCTCACAACATGGCGGTTGGCCTTCCCCAGACTGAGTGATCCAAGAGCGAGCAAAGATGAAGCCACAACATCTATGATGACTCAGCCTGGGAAGTCACATTCCCCGCTTCCGCAGTGCCATATGAGGTTACACACGTCAGCCCTATTTGGGTGGGAGGGGGCTACACAAGGCCAGGAATACTAACAGGCAGGGATCACGGGGGCCATTTTGCAAGCTGGCTACCACATATAGTCATGGGTGGCAGGGAATAAACACTATGTGTTAGCCACTCTACTATGTGCTTTATACATATCATCTTTTTTAAGCCTTACGACAACTTTGCAGATACAATGAGAGGTTAAATAGGCCACTAAGCTAGGCTGAGCATCGTGGCTCATGTCTGTGATCCCAGCACTTTGGGAGGCTGAGGCTGGCAGATTGCTTGAGCCCAGGAGTTTGAGATCAGCTTGGGCAACATGGGCGAAACTCCGTGTCTACAAGAAATACAAAAATTAGCCAGGCATGGCGGCACGTACCTGTAGTCCCAGCTACTCGGAAGGCGGAGGCAGGAGGATCACCTGAGTCCAGGAGGTCAAGGCTACAGTGAACCATGATTGTGCCATTGCACTCCAGCCTGGGTGACAGAGTGAGACCCTATCTCAAGAAAAAAGACGACTGAGCTAGTAAGTGGTAGAGACGGTTTCCAAACTCAGATGAGTGTGAATCAACACATCCCTCCTGCCAGAAGCCCATCTCGTGGCCCCTCCCGGTCCCTCTCTCTGCTAAGCCTTTGTTCCCAGGGAGGGCCGAGGCCCACAGGTACCACGACAGATGTCTCATGTCTCCAGCAACATGCCCTGACGTCTCCTCACTGAGACCTTGAACGAGTGATGTGCAGCGGGTATTGTCTCCACCCCATTCAAGCTCCTGGGATCCTTGGAGACACCGCCCTTCTCGGTGCCAGGCTCATCACAGATTGGCTGACAGTGGTGGCGATGACAGTAATTCTCACTGCCTCTTTGACCTCTGTGAGTCTTCTTTTTTACAGGGATGGTGTCATCTTTGCAGAAAGACATGTTAGCAAAGGATGAGCAAGTTCAACAACTAAAGGAAGAGGTCAGTCAACTAAAAAGTCAGAACAAGGACAAGGATCACCAGCTGGAAGCCCTTGGCTCTAGAGTGAGTAAGGATGGCTGCGTCACCTTCTTGTAGCTGTCAGGTGAAAAGTAACCAAAGTGAAGTCACACGATGTCTTTGTTTCATTCACCCTGGGCCCTTATTTTAAATGTATTCCTACCTCTCACACCGTGGTGCTGGGGGAAGGGGGATGGGGGCAAACGTGAAATGCTCACCTAGAAAGACTAAAACAACTGGCCAAGTTCTTTGCAGCTTTTCAAAGAACGGCATGCCTGGGGCCCAGAATAAGCAAGATGTAGCCTCAACTCCAGCAAACGTTTTCTAATGCCCGTTATAAATGAGTTTGGTCAATTCCAGCCGCAAATGCGCCCTCAGCATGAATACCTCTCTGGCAAGGCTTCATATTAAAGCAGAATAGAATCACTGCATGCAAAAGAGGACACAGTGGGCCTCGCCTCATCCAGTCACCACTGATCTGCACAGTCACCTTCGAAGCAAGATGTTTGCAGGTCCAAGCGCAGTTAGACAGGCTTTCACTTCTTCCCTTAGACCTCAGAGCGCGTGAGAACATTCTGTGTGGCGTGAACCTGCTAGGCAAATCAAGGGCTATTTAAAAGTAATTTTGAAGCGAGGCACAGTGGCTCATGCCTGTAATACCAGCACTTTGGGAGGCTGTGGTGGGTGGATCACCTGAGGTCAGGAGTTTGAGACCAGCCTGGCCAACATGGTGAAACCCCGTCTCTACTAAAAATAACAAAAATTAGCGGGGCGCCTGTAATTCCAGCTGCTCAGGAGGCTGAGGCAAGAGAATCGCTTAATCCGGGGAGGCAGAGGTTGCAGTGAGCCAAGATCATGCCACTGCACTCCAGCCTGGATAACAAGAGTGAAACGCTGTCTTAAAATAATGATGATAATAATAATTTGGACTATTTGCAAAGTGGACCTCAATGCTCTGACTTTAGAATCCTGAATCTATAGGATTTATCAATATTTGAGGTTTATTTATTTGAAAAATAAAGACAGGCATTTCAGATGTTCACATGAGTTTGGAATTAACCAAATTCATTTTTAACGGGCGTGTGGTCAGCCCGCCTCACCAAGCCCTCTGCATCCATCTCCTGAGCAGGGTCACTGCCTGGATTAAATGTGTTGTGGCTCTTTCAGATGTGGGGTGTGTGGGTTTGTGGATGTGGGTGTGAGGATGTATGTGGGTGTGTGGGAGGGTGTGTGGAAGTGTGTGTAGGTGGGTGGGAGGGTGAGGTGTGTAAGGGAGTGTGGGTGTGTGTGGGTATGTGGGGGTGTGAGAGGGTGTGTGGGGTGTGTGTGGGTGTGTGTGAGGAGGAGTGTGTAGATGTGTGGTATGTGTGGCTGGGTGTGTGGGGTGTGTATGGGTGTGTGAGCATGGGGGGAGTGTGGGTGTGTGGGGTATGTGGACATGTGAGTGAGGGTGTGTGGTGGGTGTGGATGTGTGTGGGTGAGTGTGTGAGGGGTGTAAATGTGTGTGTGTATGGGTGACTGTGTGGGTGTCAGCGTGGGTGTGTGAGAGATGTAAGTGTGTATAGGTATATGGGGGTGAGTGTGTGTATATGGTGTGTGAGGGGTATAACTGTGTGTAAGTGTGTGTGGGTGAGCGTATAGGTGTGTGGGTGTGTGAGGGGTGATGTGTGTGGATGAATATGGGTATGTGTGTGAATGTGTGTAAGTGAGTGTGTGGGTGAGGGTGCGTGTGGGGTGTGTGTGGAGTGTGTGCGGTGTGTGTGTAGGTATGTGTGTGGGGTATGCGGGTGTGTTTAGGTGTGTGGGGGTGTGCAGGTGTGTGTAGGTGTGTGTGGGGTGTACAGGTGTGTGTCAGGGCCGTAGAGCTGACATCAGATGCAGAACTGTGGAGAAACTACCTCTGGCTCTTCTACCCAGCAAAGGCATTTGGGTTACTTTTGTCCCATGTCCCCTTCCCCGTTGACCTTGGGCTGCCGTCTTCTCCGGGCTGCATCTGGCATTCATCAGCATGTGGGCTCCTGGTGAGCAAGGATATTGCTCATGTGAACATCCGAAATGACTGTCTTTGTTTTTCAAATTACATATGCTGTGTTAATTTTAGAATAAAAAGTAGAGAAAACTGGAAAGCAAAATTAAAGAGAAAAGAGCAATGCTACCCCAAGAAATCTAGGACAGCACTTGAGTGCATATGCCTTCTGTTTTCTTTCTATAACTACCTAGAAAAAAAGATATATGTAATAGATATATAACAACAAACTTACACTGTACCCATTTTTTAAACTTTAAACAATCACTGTGTTCCCACATTGACAAGAGCTGTTCTCACGGGTCTTTCAAGCTCCCTTATACTCTCTTGTCTGTGCACAATGGAATCAAACAGCCCCAGGTTACTGAGCACGGGTGTTTCCTTTCTGCTCACTACGGCTAACAGTTCTCTCAAAAACATCCCTAAACTCACAGACGTGCCAATCGGTCCAGCCATTGTCCCTATACATTCCTCAAGCAGAATTTCTGGGTCAAAAAGGAGGCACATTATTTATGTTCTTAATGCCCCTTGCCAGATTGCCCTCCAGAGTGGCTGTTCCATTTCCACCGCCACTCCCAGGCCAGTGACGTCTCAGGGCAGTAAATTGCATGAAGCGCTAAGAGCCGTCCAGGCGCACTTGGGACCGTCCAAGGAAATCAGCGCATATTCCTCAACACAGACTCTCTGAAGCTGGGTTTCCTTGTGGTTTACATTGCTGGCTTTTGAAGATGAGAGCATTTGCTGTATGCCTCTGATTTCATGAGTGGAGAACCAGGAATGGCTGCAGGATCCTGTGTGCCCGTCAGACACAAGGGGATGCCTTTAGGGATTTCTGCGGGTGACTGGATGCAAACAGCTCCAGAAACCTTCTCAGGGGCTCACATGCGGCCTCGGAGCCCCTCCTTCCCCCAACAGCCCTACTTGGCCAACATCAGCCTCTTTCTCTGTCGCCCTGTCCTCCACAGTGCTCGGTGCTAAAGGAAGAGTTAAAGCAGGAAGGTGCTCACAGGGAGCTCAGGGAAGCCCAGGAGAAAGAGTTAAAACTCTGCAGAACCGTGAGTTGAGCTTCCTCTTTCCCCCGGAAAAATCAGAGTTTGACCTTCGGGTGCTTGGTGGGATCCTGGGCATCACTCAGCACCAAGCCCCGGAGCTCTATGCGTGCTTGCTTGTTTGTTAGCATGGTCTCATCACTCTTTGATCTGCTGATTCTGTACAGGTGAAGGGACCCCAGGATTCCCTGGGCAGTTGGCTCTGGCTCCCTCAAGGAGCCAGGCTGGGGTTGAGACTGGGGACAGGGACAGGAGGCTGGCCAGCTGACCACCACATGGTCCCCTGCCCTACCCCCGACCTGTGACTCTCAAACGTGTGTTCCACTGTCCCAAGTTTAATCCTAAACACAGGCACTGTTGTTAACACTTCCTGAAGTATTTTTATTTAAACACAACCATTTATTTATTTACTTATTTATTCATTTTTGAGATGGAGTCTTGCTCTGTCACCCAGGCGGGAGTGCGTTGGCGTGATCTCGGCACACTGCAACCCCAGCCTCCCGTGTTCAAGGGATTCTCCTGCCTCAGCCTCCCAAGTAGCTGGGACTACAGGTGCCCGCCACTACGTCCCGCTAATTTTTGAATTTTTAGTAGAGACGAGGTTTTACCATGTTGGCCAGGATGGTCTTGATCTCTTGACCTCATGATCCGCCCGCCTCAGCCTCCCAAAGTGCTGGGATTAGACATGAGCCACTGCACCCAGCCTACACACAACCATTTAATATCCACTTGTAAAAACAAAATTAAAAGTTATTCGCTTTTTATAGAAGGTAACCATAAAAATAAATACAATGATAACAGGACCATTAGAGTAAAGGGAGGTGTATTCCCATGCCCTCTGAATCTACCGCGCACCTCACCAGGTGTGCATTTTCCATTCATTGGGAAGCTCAGCTTCTCCGGCATGCTCTTCCCACGCTAGCGCTGTTCCTCCAGGCCAGGAGCATTTTACTCCCTGCCTCAAACAAAAAAAGAAAAACATTTTGTTGTTCTGTTCTTCCAGACCTTGCCTGTTGTGTCTTCCAAACAGTTGCCCCTTTAGATTCGTCTCAAAAATATACCCCAAGAGCAGGGTGTTTCTAATGAACTGATGGACATCCTGTAGCGCCTAATCCAGGACTGTCCTGACTTCCAAAAGAAACTAATTTCCTTTATCCAGAACTTTTAATATATCAGTTGAAAAACAGTCTATTTTGCCCGCTATTGTAAAACCTTCCCCCGGGAGAAAGAATTAGACAAGCCGATACCACACAAGGTCCCACCTTAATGAATGGGATGCAAGGGGTTTTGAGGGCTCAGACCAGGAAGGCAGCTCCTGCAGCCCAGCAGGGAGGTTCACTCTGTTGTTGAATCTTTCTCAGCAAATCCAAGACATGGAGAAAGAGATGAAGAAGCTCAGGGCGGAGCTGAGGAAGAGTTGTACTGAACAGAGCGTGATCTCTAGGACCCTGAGAGAAAAGAACAAGGTACGGAGCAGACGCCAAACCCAGAGAGTGCTGTGGCCAGGAGCTCCCCACTCACCACCCCTGTTAGTCCTCGAAGTGGCCTATGTTGCTATTAACCCTTCTTACAGCTGAGAAAACTGAGGCTCACACAGGGAAAGGGACCGTTCACTCCACAGATAAAGTAATTGTGGCAGGATTTGAACCCAGGTTTGTCTGACTCCAAAGCCCCTGTGAGTAACCCCACTATGCCGCACTGCCTTCTAAAACTGTTTCTTGATTTTTTGGTAAATGAGACCCTCCCGCCTGCCAGTTCCAGTGAGTTTAGTGTTGCTTATTTATTTTAATGTTCCTTCCCATCATTGGAAAAAAAATTGCATACTCCAGACCTGTGCTATCCATTACAGTAGCCACTAACCATGCATGGCTATTTAAATTTAAATTAAGTCATGGTAGCTCACTCCTGTAATCTCAGCACTTTGGGAGGTAGAGGCACGTGGATCCATCACCTGAGGTCAGGAGTTTGAGACCAGCCTGGCCAGCATGGCGAAATACTGTCTTTACTAAAAATACAAAAATTAGCCAGGTGTGGTGGCGCAGGCCTCACAGGTGTGAGGCCTGTAATTCCAACTACTAAGGAGACTGAGGCAGGAGAATCACTTGAACCCAGCAGGCGGAGGTTGCAGCAAGCCAAGGTGACTGCACTCCAGCCTGGGCGACACAGCAAGACTACATCTCAAAAAATAAAAATAAATTAAAATTAATTTCCCGGGC